AAAGAAAAAAAAAAGATGGGCGTCACCAGAAACGTATATGTTCGTTGCCGCCCGAACTGTCACGTCATCCTCTTTCCCACCCCCCGCTCTTTTCCGTCGGCGACGCAAGGAGAAAACAAACTTGTGTGTGGAAATTCACAATTCAAGTTCATCAGGGGTTTCCTACAAAAAAAAAAAAAATAAATAATAATAATCACGACTACAAAAACAACTACTACCACAAACTCTAATAAAAAATAATTTTTTTTTCTTTAAAAAAAAAAATAATAATAATGGGACGAGCCTACCCACTCCTTTGCCCATAAAGTTAAAAATTAGGACCCTGCAAAGCCCAGCCTTGCGTTTATCAGTTCATCTCGAAACACATTCATCTTCTAATTCCATGCACTCACCAATGAGTTTGCCCCCCCCCCCCTTTTTTTTTTTACTCCGTTCCATCAGTAGTAAGGCCCATTCGGTGCTCCGTAGTTGGAGCACGTTACACACGACGAATTTCCGCCTCAGGAAAGCGGACGTGTAGATTATTATGCGTAAATACATGACTCGGTGTCCACTTCACCCCATTTCATTGTTTATGCATACAGTTATAGCGCTACACCACACCGTTAGCCTCACCTTCAATTCACTCGACATGAGCCGCTGAAGCCTACACACTTGTTCTTTGTTCCTCAACCATTTTTCTACAGGTTTGTTTTCCATTCACCCACACAATCTTTCCTTCTCTCACTCTTCGTTTTAGTTATCACTCCCCCTCCTCTCCCACGCATTATGCTAGATTGCGGACTGTGTATACATGCAACACAGCGTCATGCACTTCCAAGTTTACCATTCTGAAAGTTGCTCTTGTATATATATATATATATACATACGTATATACCTTACTTCTCCGTATGCACCAACCCCGTTGATAAATCCACATTATCGTTTTGCCTTCAATTTATCTTTCTTTCCGTTTCCCACTCTTTTATCACTCACTAGTTTCCGCTTACTTCCCGCAATGGCACAATGCTTCTTATTATTGCCCCCTCACTCTCCTTCCATACGGTGCACAGCAGCCTGTTGCTCGTTGAATTGACGCAGCTTCTCCTTCTGTGAGTAGTCTGAAATCTGGTGCTCGAGCTCCTCCGGCACGTAGTACATCCCCCGCGAGGCGTTCACCTTCAGGTCGTAGCAGTAGCACACCAGCAGTGCTGTGGCGGCCGACTCGTACACGCTGAAGAAGGCGCGACTCAACAGAAGCGTCATGACGCCAATTACGATAAGCGGCATCACAAACACTTGAATATCCGTCGCAAGTTCAGGCATTTTGCAAAGGAAGTATGCAGAGACGCAGCACCCAGTCACAACTAATAACTCCACAAGGAAGGTCAGAATATTTATAAACCACGTCAGAAATATCAGTTCCACAGTGTAGCTCATAATAAACTGGATGGCACGGCAGGCCGAAATACAAAAGCCGTGTGAGGTCAGACACATCATCACAAACGCGTTGGTATTTATGACGGAAATCACACGCACAAAGTAGGCAATAAAACACTCCAAATAACATGCCATGCACCGAATCATGCCGGTGTCATGCACCAACGACTGTGCCTTTCTGACAAAGTAGGAGAGTACAAAGCGTATTGTCTGTATGATGGCAATCAAAAAGGAGCCAAGCGCCAGTGTTCCTGTGTGATAAAAGAGTGTCCAAAAAATCCCCTTGCAGACGCCACAGGTGGGTACACTCTTCTCAGCATTGTAAAGGCTCGAGAAGTACCAAAAAACGGAAACAAAAGCGATGGTGGTGAAGCACAAGGCATTGATAAATGTCATGGTCCAGAAAAATCCAAAGATATCGGCAATCAAAAAGTATTCTGTCGAGTGTTTAGAGTTAAGCACTTCCGAGGCAACTTTGAAAAATTTCGTATTGTTCAAGTCCACCAGTGGGGTACCTTCAAAGTAAAGAGCATCGGTGACAGGCACGAGAGAGTACGCAGTTCCACGTTCTTTGGCACTGCACAGGCATAAACCAACGAGCACAGACCATGCCAATAAAGCGATAATTACTACAGCAGCTCCGAACGGAAGTATAACCATCGTTGGAGCAGAACCCAAAACACGACCTGCTATTTGGATGATGGCGCACACAAGTCGTATTTTGCTACACAGCGCGAGAACAATAAATAAGTAGCAGATGGCCAGAAACCACAGTACGATAGCAAGCACAAGGAAGAGGCTGGAGTATCCCTGTACACCTGTCACCGGAAAGTAGGAACTATTCCCATTGGTTTGATATAACAAAAAGGCCACTCCGCCGCCACCGGCTAGTAGGAGAAAGAGACATACGATTATGAGCCATACCAAGATGCTGATGCAAAAACGAATCAGTACAATAAATACAAAACATGCCACAATACAAATGACTGCCTCGATGCCAATGACACGCCAACTATTTGCAATTTCATCTATCCCTTGCACAATAAACGTTTGCGCCTTCTCCAAGTACGGGGATGAGAGGTTGCTTTGCACCACCACCGGTTGCTTGATTTTTGGCAGACACTTACGCATGACGGATGAGGTATCATACACGGCGTAGATTCTTGAGGCGGCACTAACTGGGCCTCCATTCTTGGAAGTATCTCCATACGAGTACACCTGCATCTTCGGTAGATCCGGCCCACTTATATTGTTTGCCAACAGCTCCTTCAGTCCCTCCACATTCGTTTGAGGGCACTTCTTGACACAAAGACCGAGATTCAAGTAGGAGCTCATCTGGAATACATCCGTCACGTGCTTCACGATGGGCAGCGGATACCAGAGGAATTCGTTCTCCGACCAGTTCTTGCTCTGAAACGGAGCAACGGATGGTATATGGCTCGAAAAATTCGCCGGTCCCACACCGGTGCCGCAGGCGTACCCAAGATAATCGCTACCAAACAAAACGAGTCTCAGATCACCACCCTTAAATGCAACAACGCCAAGTACTGCAAAGGCAGCCAAGAAGCCTATGAAGATAATCAAAAACAAAACATCGGTACATGAACGGTTTTCCTCATACTTTTCGGGCAAGTCCGTTGTTTTGTTTTCACAGAGGCAGCAACAGCCACCCATTCGTTATGCTAATTGCAAAGATTCCAAGGAAACGAGAAAATTAATGAATCTTCGTAAAGATATTTCAGACCTTTTTGTTTCCTCCCTATGGAGGGATTCCTTTCACGCTTCCCTTTTGCTGTTGGATGTTATTGCACTTCCTCTTTGCTGCCTTTGCAAAAACCGTACAACTGCCAAACACGGAGAGAGTCTCTCTCTCACACACACACACAACAACAACAAAAAAAAGAGTAGATACAGTGATAGAATGAAACAAAAAGAAAAAAGGGGCAACCAAGACAGCATGCAGGCAAACATTACGGAAAAACAACAATAACAACACCAAAATAAGTGAACCACCAGGGAAAAATAAGAGGCAAAAAAGAAAAAAACACCCCACACAGGCGCAGGCCCAAGCACAGAGAAGGTAGCTCACTGAAGACAAAAAAGTTGCGAAAAAAAGCTCCGAACCAACTTCACCTCCCTGCAGCCTAAGCCCTCACCCTTTTTTTTTTTGCCCTTCCTGGATGGCAACTCACTCTCCTACTCCTCTCCTCACTAATAACGCGGCAACGACGGAATTCACCTGCATCAACAAGAGAAATCAAACAACAAAAAAGCGCCAAACTCTATTTTTTTTTCTTCGTTTCTTATACTTGTTTTTTTTTTCTTTTCTTTTCTATCTCCCCATTGTTCCTTGTCAACCAAATGTCTCGATCTCATCCTGCTTGGGGATGCTCCCACCCATGAGCCTCGAGAAGCAAAACAAGAAGAAATAAACAAAATACCACACACAGTTCAGTATCCTTTTTTAAATATATTATTGTCTTGGCTTCATTGTTTTGGCTGCAAGGTGGACCCCGTTTCCTCCCCTAATTGGTCACTCATATTCTCTCCGCCCCATATTACACATCCATATTCTTTCCTCCTCATCTTTTCGTTATTCTTATACACACACACACATATATATATATCTTTCAACCCTCCTCTCCGTTTACCCAGGATTGTGAGTCTTGTCGCTATTTAGCCCGTGTTGGTAGAAGCAGCAGCTTTTGCTGCGTGCTGTTCAGCTTCCTCCCGTTCCGCCAACAGCTTCTGGGTGTGCGCTTCCACCTGATCACGCAACGGGCCATTTTCAAACTCCAACCGGCGCAGAAAGGCGTCCTTGCCCCAGCTTGCCAGATGATCGTAGTCGTTCTTGTCCAGCTCCGAAATGTCCTCCTCCAGGTAGGCGGGATCATTGTAGTAACCCATGACGTAGTTTGTTAGAATCACAAGGTTTGGTGCCTTGCCCTTCTCAACAAACTCAGGTCCAAGGAAGGTAAAGTACCCCTCCACACGCTCCATCAATTGCTCACGTGTAAGGTTCTTGTCATACGGAGCCAAGAACCTTCGCCAGGCATAGTCGTAGAGATCCTCATCGGACATCTTTTCGTGAAGCTTCTGGGTAATGACCATGTAGTCCTCGCACCATGCAAGGTTCCAGTAGTCACGAACCCGCGTACCATTGCACAGCCGCGTGAGCATTGGGAACGTTGGAATGTTCATGCTGCGGGAAAGATGGCGCAAAGACTTGCGACGAATGAGTTCAAACTTGATAAATCCGTCGTACATCTCAGCTGCATGGCGAATCAATTTTGGGTCCCGCCAGACATCATTCTTCTCAAACAGGTCATCCCAAGCTTGCTCCTGCGTTTCGTTCCACGGATACGCGTGGAAGTCAAAGTGCCACTTTGTGTCTGTTAAATATGACGGAATACTGCGGTAGCGGTATAGGTCTTGAGCGTGACGCCATGCCTTGAGCTCCTCAGGGGTAGCATTAAACGAAGACGGCACCCATGTGTCATTGGCAAGCCAAAAGAGAGCCAGCGGAAGGGCGTAGCCACCAATCACCAGTACAGAACCAGTGCAGTGCACCATACGCCACATGTCCAACTTGTACCGCATAAGCTTCGCTATTTCCTCCTGGGAGACCTCCTTGCTAAGCTCCATATCGACCCACATGTTCTTGTCTTGTGAATGAAAACGCTTGTGGTAGTCGGGAGAGTACGTTTCGCTCTGTTCCACAAAGTCAGTGGGCCCATACTTCTGTTGACGATTGTAAATTCGCAACCAAATGTCAACGGCATCCTGTGTCTGTTTAGCAAACAGCGTAACACCAGAGAAGAAGTTCGTACAGTTCTTCTTCAAGATCGCCCAGCTACCCTGCATGGCCCCTAGCTGTTTATGTCCCGCGGTCTTCAGTAAATTTCCTTCCTAGCTTGTGTCAGTCGTAAAAGAGAGAGAGGAAAAGCAAACAAACAAACAATATATATGTAACAAAAAGAAGACGCCTCGATATATGTATGGGCGGAATTTCTTCGTTGCATAGATGAAGGCTTCTTTCAGCTTCTCGTCAAAACAATGGCCTGGCCCGCCGTATGACGACGTGCTGCAATGTCAGTTAAAACACCAGGCCAGAGTGCGCACAGACACACGTGTACACTCATCACACGCCCACAGACACACGGCTGCTTCTAGTCTCCACCACTTCGCTTCTCTTCTACCTCATGTGTATCACCACCATGACTGACGCCACCAAATACAACGGAGGCTCTCCATGCGCCATGCAACCGTTTGTCTTTTCAAAATGCTTCTATTTTGTTCGCCCTCGTGCATTCATACGCCCCCTCCCCCCGTTCAAGTTCATGTTTGCTTGTGTGTTTTTTTTTTGCTTTCATTGTTTTTCGCCGCTGCTGCCTTTCCCTCCCCCGTTGTTAGCCATATATTATATATATATATATATATATAATATATATATATATTTCCCCCTTTTTTCTGCTGCTGCTGAGAGACGTCATCGTGACCCCATTATCTCTACCCAACTGCCTTTACTCGCTATGCCTCGCCACTTTTCTCTTCCGCCGCCACTGCAGCCTCCTCCTCCTCTGGCTCATTGACTCCCAACTCTGATAGCGCCTCCAAAATCAGATTGGCATTCGAGAGGACAAAGTAAAGCATCGTAAAACCTATTGTCCACGCCACATACGTCCATCGTCCCTTTTTGAACACGTCGTCTTCTGACGATGATTGTTTGGACGCATCGCCGGTGCAGCTTTTATTTGTCCGTATTGTGTAGTAGGCACTGTACTCCTCAAAGTACATTTGCCGCACCTTCTCAATGTACGTCACGAGCGCCGGGCAGTCCTCCTTCAGCTGCCTCTGCAACTCCACAACAGCGGCAGGGGCATGATGGCTGGCAAAATCTGCATGGAGAAACGATGAAGCCGCCGCATACGCCAAGGCATCAGCACTACACGGCCGCTCCGTTCCCAGGAAAAATGTCCCTGCCCCAGAGGAATTTGAGTGGCTGACATGAAAGGCTTGTAGTGCACGTAGTCCCTTTTCCACCTCTGCAAGAGCCTCCTCTACACTGGAGTGCCGCCCACAACACCCACTGCCGTCTAGAACGCTGCTGCGGTAGTTCCCCTGCAGTCGCTGCAAGAGCGTGGCAACCTTTGGTTCAACGCCTTTTCGAATCGAGTGATTAAAAAGATTCTTGTCGCTATGAATGAGGTACACAAATGCCGGGAGCAGCGACTTCTCCACTAATACGCTCACACAGAGTGAAAGATGTCGCTGTTCGACTGACAGAACCTCTGCATCCACATGAAGAATGTCTTCCATAAGCTGCAAACACGATAGAAGGCCTGTCTCTCGCACCACTGTGCTGCCACTGCTGGTGGGAATTTCAAGAGCAACTGGCAAGGGGGCATCACGCTTCACAAAATGCGCCCCCACAAAGCGCAGCATGCACTCCACCGCAAGCGCATGTGGATCCGCCGTCGGAATGGCAAAACACGCCGGGTAGCGAAATAGTGTCACCGTGGGATATTCCTTTGTCTCGTCATGCGCCATCACGGCTTGGCGGGGTTATTTGTTATCCTGTGGCCTAAGCCCACATGCCCACACACACAAAAAAAAAGGCATAGAGGAAGAGCAAATACACACAACCAGCAGTAGAAACAGCATTTGAAAAGATAAAAAAAAGCGCAAAGACAAACACACACACACACAGAGAGAGAGAGAGAGAATAATTGCGCCACGAAGTATAACTGCGCAAAGCTAAGATGTTATAGGGTGAACGTTGTGTGGGGTTCCTCACAGTGAGATGATCGCGTCCTGCATTCACAACTAATAAGTTTTTTCTTTTCTTTTTTCTTGTTTCATGCATGCACATATACATATATATATATATATATATATATTTGAAAAATGCCTTCTTTACTTATCTTTTCTTTAGCTGCCGCTCCAGCGTTCTTTCGAAACACAAATAAATAACAATAATAATAGTGGCAGTAATCAAAGTGGTAGTGACGCGTGTCCTTGCAACAAGTTTCCCTCTCCAAGAAACACTTCACTAAACTCCCGCCTCACCTCGCTGCCCCTTTTCGTTTTTTTTTTTGGTTTATTCGTTGTTTTCTCCTTCCCCAATCTTCATTTCCTTCACGTCATTCCTCACCACTCCCCCCTCCCCACTCCGCTCACCGCCACCAGACCGTACAGCAAATTTCTTCCGTTTTCTTTTTCGTTTCCGTTTCCGTCGCGTCCCCTCTCTCACACTTGCCCCTAACTCCTTGACCGCTGCTCTCTTTTTCATATCCATCCGTCCACCCACTTATTTATATCTCTCCTTCTCCTTCGATTTCCTCGTCTGTTGCATGGGTGGAAAAAGCAACCCTTAAAAAACGGTCACTCAACACCGCCGAGTAGATGCGCAGTGAAAGCGCAAGACAGCAGCGCCAGCACAATAAACAAACGCAGGTGGGGGTGGGGGGTGGGGAGACAAAAAAGATAATAAAACGCAATGATGGAGTCAAGGAGCAAGAGCGGGGAATATTATTTCTTTTATTTATTTCCTCTATCTGTCTGTTGTTGCTTCCCTTCCTCTATGCGTGCAAACGGAACAAACAAAAAGACTCAGAAAGGAGTCAAACAAGGCGGGAAGAAGGCCGCCGGCGGCACGTGTTACATGCAAGCACTCACGCACTGCCGCCGCTGCCACGGATACGTTCACAAAAACAACAACAAAAAAAAATTTTATTTTATTTTTACTTCCTTTAAGGCATTTTATAAAAGCAGTTACCACAATGGTCCTTCTTCAGTTGTGGTTGAGACAGGGGAAGTAGGCGTGAGAAAAGAGAAATGGGCGAAGCATAGGCAAGTTTGGTCCTTATAATCCCCCGTGCGTGGTCGACGTCAGGCACGAGATACCCGTCCCACCCACTATATATATATATATGGATTGCCCCGATCGCGGGTTATTATACCCCACAAGCGTTTTCGCCTCTGTCTCCACCTCTCCCACCCGCCCCTACATTACATAATAGTAGAGGCACACACAAATCCAAGCATACCCACCTGGGCTTTACCACTCGGAAAAAAAAAAACATATATACATCCACCAAAGGACCTCGTACAGTGTGTAAGCCCACACCATAGCAGACAAAAAAAAAAAAAGATATCTTCCCGTGAACGCCCTTGTTCTTTTCCCATTTCTCACGTTCGATGTAATTGAATTCATTTGTCTCACACATTTCACGGCTACCCTCACGCATCTCCTCCAGGTGTTATGTATTCGCAAGATGCCATAAATAAGCGTTTGACCACTACTTTCTTTTGTCTTCGCGTTGCGTATTTTTGCTTGTGTTTTATTATCGTTACCAGAGGAGTAAAGAGAGCAGAGGAGAGCAATATGACGGCATGCCCCTGCCACCGTCGCCCGCTTCATTTTCCCCTTCACCGCTCCCTCTCCCCTTCCAAAAAACGTATCAGATAGAGGAGCGGCAAAGTGTAACAGCGCCCCCTCGCACCCATCCCATACGACACAGACTTCTTTGTGTTGACTCAATTTTTTTTCTTTCTCCTTTTTACATCTTTATTGGCGGTTTTGCTTTTATTTTTGGCTCGCCCCACCTCAATTCGCCCGGATCCAGAAAAAACGATCATGACAGGCCAAGGAGACAAAGCCATGCACACACACACAACAAAAAAAAAAAGGTTACTCTGTTTCCAGCTTTCACACACACCACAAATTTATATTCGTCTTCATCCCTCGTTCCCTAGGTGCGGCACTTGTTTTTCTCTTTTTGAAGCCTCCACCTCCCCTCATTTCCAAACACACATACACAAAATTGCATGAAGGAGGCCTCATGCCAGATACAACAAAAGAAAATAGTATCATTGTTATGAGCCTCGCACTTGCAAAACGTGGCAGTAGCCGTAGTAGTGACTGCCTGATAAGAACAGAATCCAAGGGAACTTCAGTGACAACCACCATACCCCATGCACCGCGCGCATGACAGTAAGCCAATCAGAGAATGATGTGTGGTGCAAGGAAATAATGAACAATGCAATCACCCATGCGGAAGAGAAGCCTAAAAAACAACAACAAACAATAAACGCAAAAAAAAAAACGTCCAAAAAACGTAATATATGTATATATACATATATACATGCATATACATATATATATATACATATATTCATAGAAGTAGAGTGAAACAAAAAAGATGCCACATAAACCACTTGGGGGGAGGTTGCTACATAGCCTTGCCTCTTATTGCACATTGCATCTCTCGTGTGGAGAGCGGTACTGCAAACAGGAGCGGATGGGAATATGTGGGCACTTGGTCAAAAAAGGCAGCGTGAGTCCACCGCAAAACTGCAATAGAAGAAGAAAAAATCGCATGATGATTATGATATTATAAATACATGGACGATATTATATATAGATATGTGTGCGGTTGCGCAGGGCAACACATATGCGTACAGGCATGACAAATAAATCACGCACCTCTTCCGCCTCCTGCGTTTACCCCGCCAACAGTGACAGCAGCTACCACTCACACGGAAGGAGAAAGCCCAACACGGGTCTTGATGGAACAAAAGAAGAAGAAGAAGAAAAAAAAAAAAAGACGACGACGGTGGATGGAGAACAAGCGGGGAATAAAAAAAGAAAAGAAACCCTCTCAGATTCACCTCAAAAACAAAACAAAACAAAAAAAAAGGAAAAAGGATTTAAAAAACACACACACACGACAAAAAAAAAAAAATTAACTCGATAACATCGGCTGAGCAGAAACCTACAAAACCAAAATAGCACCTTCAGCCAGAGATAGCAGCCTCTGCCGCCATCGTCCAAAAAGATTAAAAAAGACATACAACAGCAAGTCGTCGAGTAAAGAAATGAAGACGCAAAAAACAGGTAGAGATGTAGTTAACCGCCTTATACATACAAGAAAGAAGTTGAGCGAAAGAATATCGAGATAAACAACGAAACCACCAGACAAAAAAAAAAACAAAACAAAACAAAACAAAACAAAAGGAAAAAAGCAGTGTTGTGCACCATAATAGTGACAGTGAACGAAAGTAGTGAAAAACGTCAAGCGTGGCAAGAAGCAATTGCCATAACACCAACAAAAGGGCAACAAAAAAAGAAAAAAAAATTTACGGGGCCGAAAACAACAACAAGAAAAAACAGCAAAAAAAAAGTATACTAACCAAAAAAAGAAAGAAAAAAACAAAACAACGAATACATTTAGTGTGTGTGTGTTTCTGT